TTTCCTCTCATTTGCTCATTCTTCTCTCATTTTCCTACAAGCAAAAACCAGCCCTAACTCTCCCTCTTATGCTCTCTCTTTAGTTTTTCTTCCACTCCCTTAAATACAAATACTAGCTTAAGATCAAGAAGGAGAAGGAGGATCAAAGTGTTCTAGGAGGAGTTTAACCAAGAATTTTCTTTCCTTAAGGGTATGAACTCTAAAACCTTTCTCTCTATTTTTCTTTCTAGCAAAGTTTAAGTTTGAGAATCCATTGATGTAATTTGTGATTCTCAAAGAAATAAGTTGTAATAAGGGTGTGTGAGTTTTAAGTTGGTTTTGTGAGTTTTGAGGTTAGTTTGATTAAGCATTATGTGGTATGTTTATACTTGGTTAAAGTTTGCTTATTTTGGGTTGGAGAAAAAATTTTCCGGTTACTTTGAACGTGAAAATGAGGACCCTAGAGCGAGATTTTTCAGTATTTCAAAACTTGAACTTATGGTTCTCGATGTTTTGAACATTTTTCTGTGACTGTGACAAAACCCAAGTTTAACTCTAAACGCAAGTTTTAAGCCATTTTACAAAAACGGGACAGGTTGTCCAACACAGTTTCGGGAAAAAGACTGCAGCCACTGTTTTTAGCCAAATGATGCCTTTAGAGGCTGAATTTCAGTTTTCTCTAAATATGACAATTTTAGATCTTGACGAGACAAAGAATTTTAGTGAAGAACAGATTTTCAAAATCTGAACCTAAGATGTAGTAAAATGTAGATTTCAAAAACTGCACAGTTTTAACTAAACAAAACTAACACAGTGTTGGTTTTAACAAAAGGTTATTAAAGAACCTGAGATATGATTTCAGTAAAATACTATGGTTGTAGACCTCGCTTGAACGAGGAATAGCCGTGAAGAAAGATTTCAAAAAAAGGGTTTCTATAACATAGTTTCACAGTGGTTTACAAATTAACCGTAAAATGACTTGTGGAATAGTTTCAAAAGTCGGTAGTCGAAAAGAGATTTTATAATGAGATTTTAGTGCTTGTAACTAAATAAGTGAGTAATCGGTTTTTATAAAAAAAATTGAATGATAGTTTCTTTTAAAAGCTTAATAGTTTTGTAGCAAAACATCCCGATGGGCACTTGCGAGCTAAAATGTTAGGCCTCTAGAATTTTAAAGTTAGATGCGGGTCCAATGCTCGTATTAGTTCAACAACCCCGTTTGAGTTTAAATTTCAGCAGCCTAAGAGTTAGAATACCGTGAATAAGTTTCTAGGCCGAATTGGGCCTTAATATCATAATAAGTCCAATGAGAAAAACTTTGGAGAATAAGTTACTAGATTGGGTAAATAATTTTCAATCTAGACATAAGTATGTTAAGGGCAATTAAGGAAAATAAAATTTTGAGGATTTAATAAATTGATCCTTATAGTAAATTATCCTTCAGTAAAGGAAATGAATATATGCCTTAAGAAAGGGTTAAATTTCCTTCATAAGCTGCTAAAATAGAATAGCAGATGACAGTTAATCTCACACTCTCAATGGGTGTTCATTTTCAGAAGTAAGCAAGTAAGAGAATATGTTGTTTGGCGAAAAGTGGATTCCAGCTCTGTAAATCAGGTAAGTAGGAATCTCGCCTACAACATGAATAGATTTTTAAAGAAAAAGTTACACATGTTATATATGCATGTTTATGCTTTAAGTATTGTATGCGATACTATGTCATGCTGCATACACATAAGCAGTGCACATGAATTATATGTGTTTGAGTTAATTTAATGTTATATATGCTATGCTAGATCATATTGCATACACTGAAGCAGTGCACATGAATTATATGTGTTTAAGTACATTCCATGTTATAGTATGCTATGTTATGTCATATTGCATACACCTTAATAAGTCAAAAGGAACTTATAAGAACAATCTCAGTTGAGTGCCGTACCAGCTTCCGCAAGGGAGGTAACTCTGTGACAACCATCAATCCCTTGAAGCACAAGGTCAAGAAATGGTAAGTTGTGCAGTCCCATACTCCGCAAGGGAGATAAAGGAACAAAAAAAAAAGGGTCCTCCGCAAGGGAGGCACTCAGTTCAATTTAAATCACGGTGTCATTAGGGACCTTGCAAACCCTTACGTCCCGATGATTGCGCGCAAGTGGTATGAGCACTCGGGCCCATCAGTAAGAAGGATAATATAAAATAATAAGATTATAATAAGACATCATAATTAAGCATAATCAGCTCATGCATATTTATTCATGTGAACTTATAGTTATTTTGCGAGAGATAGTTCCTACTTGTTGAGCGAAAGCTCAATCAGATGTGTTCATGCTGTAGGTAAGAAACCTATTAGCAATTCTTGAAGGACAGTGGCGAGTGGCGGGCGAATGGTGGAGATGGGAATGGATACCGCTCACAGTTAAATCTTCTGCAGTAAGTTTAAGTAAAATTATGTATAAGTATATATGATTCAAAGGTTTCAAGCAAGTATGTTTAAAAAGTATATGTACATATGTATGTTAAGAGAACTGAGGTTGTAGCTAACAACCCTAGTCTTGAGTATTTAAGTTTTAGAACGTTGCAACAGTGTATGCAACAAATAAATGAACTTTAAATACGACGGTTTAAATGATTGATTTTGAAATGACTTTAAGAAATACTTGAATTTAAGATTTCTCACGAAATTTATTTTAAAGTCAAATTAGATGGCCCGATTATATTGGCTAGTTTCAAGAAAGCTTTTAAAGAGTATTTGAAACAAGAGTTCAAATGCTACTCAGTTCGAAAGATATTTTTAGAAGGTTTTATTTTAGTTGAAATTAAGAAAAACTTTAAGAAACTTAATGATTTATTTTTTAAAATTATTGTTACGATTTATGAAATTATTCCTTCTTATAAAAATAAAATGTTCCACAAATTTTAAGAAATCCTAATAAGTACAAGCTAAAATTCAGCTACAGTGACGGCCTCCAATGAGGGTCGTCACAGAAGAGAGAGAGAGAGAGAGAGATATGTATATGAGAATGAGAGAGAGAGATATGTATATGAGAATGAGAGAGAGAGATATGTATATGAGAGAGAGAGAGAGAGAGAGTACTGCAACGAAGCAAAAATAGTAATCTGACGAGAATAACAGTTTTGTGGTGAAGGTAGGCACTTTCACAAGATCTAAAGGACGATGACCAAAAAACATCACTTGATGCTATAACGCATGAGGAATTACAAAGTAAACACGTAAGAAATGAAAAACCTTTTTCATACTGAGCACAAAATTCATTACAGAAAAGCTTTGATTTGACAATTAAGCCAGAAAGGTGGAAAACATATATATATGTATGTATGTGTGTATGTATATGAGAGAGAGAGAGAGAGTGAGAGTATTGCAACGAAGCAAAAATAGTAATCTGACGAGACTAACAGTTTTGTGGTGAAGGTAGGCACTTTCACAAGATCTAAAAGGACGATGACCAAAAAACACCACTTGATGCTATAACGCATGAGGAATTACAAAGTAAACACATAAGAAATGAAAAACCTTTTTCATACTGAGCACAAAATTCATTACAGAAAAACTTTGATTTGACAATTAAGCCAGAAAGGTGGAATAACATATTGATCTGCTAAAACAACCAGAGAAAAAAAGATGAAACTATTAAGCATTTTCCAAAAAAGAAACTCTTTGTTTTCTGACAGAAGACCATCGGTAAAACTGGAACCTCTGCTAAAGAATTCATAGCGGGTGATGGGTGCACCCCGCTAGTAAAACTGTGCATAACTATATAAACGGAAAAAAGAATTAACTATAATAATAAAAGCCATCTTCTTCCCTATACTAAGTAGGAGCTCTTTGTTTGGGAATGTACTTTATCTTCATACCCTTATCAGTCTTTGTCCTAAACTTGGCTTTAGCAGCTCCACCAGTTGTAGATCCAACACTCTGTACATTTAGAAGCCGGTTTTCTGCATCGCCAAGAATACTGCGTTTATGAAATTTTAATGATTGAGATGTTATTTCTCGATTATGATTTTCAATCTCCGAAAAGTCTGCAGGTTCAGAATCTGGGGTCAAAACCAATTTGACATGGTCCATTGCAATGGCTTCCTTCCATCCTGCATGACAGTTTGGAAAAGTTCATCAAACTTGATAATTTGTAAGGCTAAACCAGTTCTCTGGCTTGTGTCCATATAATGCACGAGAAAATAGAATAATAGAGTGAAAACAGGACTCACTTTGTGCAAGAAAAGCTTTTATCGCATGGCTAGAATTACCATCAAAGAAAGACGGTCTTGGACAATTTTCACTGTTAGGGGTTTCTCTATGACCCTTTTCAGCAAACGCATTTCCTTCAGATTCCCAATTGCTGTTCAGAACTGGCATTGAACTTGTGGTTCCATTCCGGCTCACCGGCCTCCATAGCTTAACAGTTGACCTGCTTGTGCCATTCTGAATGAGATCGGGCTTGTTGGGATTATCCAGAACACTGTTCTTTGGCATTTGATGCTCCTCCGTGCAAGCACCACAAGCTTCTGAGAGATTATGATGTCCATCCTGACTGCAATTTCCAAGCGTGACAGATATGGAACCTATTAACACCTCACATTCCTTGGTTTGATCTGGTTCATTTGATGCCTCCTTTTGTCCTATGCCTTCATCATATTCTGGTTTAGCCTTCCGGCTCCATACTTTATGACTAGTTGAAACATTCCTTGTATTCCTATGATTTCCACGTTTTTGTGTGACTCCAAGCTTTGATGCTTGAGAACTCTGATCTGCATGAAAACCAGTGGATGCCACCCATTGTGATTTTGGTGACCCTTGCCACCTTCGCCGACGACCACTTCCTTGAACAATGTGCCTTTCGACATTTGAACTATCGCCCATATCAACATGTCCGCAATCTAACCTTTTCTGAAGTTCTGAATCCAGATTTCCACCCAAGTTGGAGTGCTCTACCATAGACAATGGTACATGATTTACCATGTCCCAAGCGTCTCTATGGATGTCACAAGCCACCGGACTAAATGTTTCTGCTGGCGGTATTGCCCCCACAACTTCTTCAATGCACTCAGTAACATCTGCCTTCTCCCCATGTCTTTGTTCCTTTGCCTTTTGTTCTTTCTGCCTGAGCTTCTTCTGCCTTTTCCTTTCCAAGAGCTCAGCTTGCCTATAAAAAATGCAAGAATCAAATCAGAAAGTCACATGGCTTCTCAACTTCCATTATCAGCTAGACTGGAGAGTAGAAGATTCCAAGCCAATATGCCTGCTAAGGTGCCGGTAGCTGAAGAGATGGGAAGGCATTTCCCAATTTTGGCAATGCCTCCAACTTAAACTATTTAGTAGAAATATGTTCTCTTAAAGCACTCATTAACATAAAAAGTCAGTCACTTTAGTTAAGTCCTCTCCTCTCAGGAATTGACTAAATAACTCTTTTAAGATCCATCAACTCAAAGCAAGCACCATATACAGGAGGAGAAGGATCAAAGGCACCAATAGGGAATTTAATCTCTCAAGTGGATGTGACCTAATAATCAGAAATAGACGAATATCCTATATAAATAGGAACTGTACTCTTCCCACAAACTTAAATCAGTTCAGAACATCAGGCCCAAACTTCTTATACAGTGATGAATCAGAATCATCCGGAAAGATATGAAGTGCTTGTGTACCTTTTCTGAGCAGCTTCTTCTTCCTCCACCAGCAATTTCTGGAACCTCAAAGCTTCAGCATCCTTGTCAGCAAGCCATGCGCTAACCTAAGCAAAGAAGAACACAAATTAGTTCAAAAATGAAGAACCGCCTCCTCAATCCTAACAGCGTTTTAGCTTGCCTCGACAAGAAGGTAAAAGTGCAAGAATGATGTAGAGATAAATATTGTACAGATACACTTATATGCGAGTTTGAACAGAGTCACTAGTTAGGGGATGCCAAATATGTTGTTTTGGAGTTTGCAGCCCATAAATGTGGAGAGCAAGGGAGTTTAAATAAAAATAAAACGACTTGTGAAGTATTTAAAGGAAGAAAAAGTACCAATTTCTGTTCCAACAAAAAGCTAGTACAAGCAACTAGGTTTTTTGTTTCGAGACCTATCTTCCCAGCCTCTCCGTCAAAAACATGTCTTTGCATTGATACAGCTGGTCCAGACAAGAATGTTTTCTCACTTGCATGATCAAGGACGCTAAATAACTCCTCGGAAGATATTGGAAACCTCAAAGGTCTACCTTGGACAATGTCCTGTGAGAAAATTTTGGATTTTTACACACCTTAAGTTATTAAAAAAAAATAGCAATCTGAAAAACAACCAAGGACCATCCTCTTACCAAAAGATCAGAGCCAGCCTTCAGATAAGGTTGTGGCAGAGACGAAAATCCTGATTTTCGAATAAGAGCCGACAATGCCTTTATAATTGAAGGCCCTGGAACTTCCTAGAAAGCACTTTCACTTAGAAACTTTACTCATGAATAATTAACCAAACAAATAATAACTTGAAATTTTGGGTGAAAGTAGACATTCTCATGTGAGTCGGTGTTTATTCAGATGTATCTCCTGCTGATTATAAAATGAAAAAAATTAAATAAATAAAAAAGCCTTATTGCATCCCTTGTCAAATAGTTATCGACTATTTTAATATAACAAGGTGCCAACTACAGCTTCAACCACATGTCCTCTCCAAAGATAGAAAACATGGGAATCATTGATATTCAGTGATCATTAAGGTTAAGTTACATTAGTCTTCATTCATAGTTTGTGAATCATAAGAGCACCAGCTAAAAGGATTAATGTACTTGATGTTTCAACGACTGTGTACCAACAAAAATCATAGAAGCAGCATAACAAACCACGCATGAAATAAGAAAAGCGAAAGAGGTTTACCTCTAGTACTACATTCTTGAATGATACAACTTCTTTGGCATCATCCATAGAGAGCTACGTAGAATAAGCAGTTAGCAACTTAGCATTAAAATAAAGACACTCACATAAAAGAATTGCAAGAAAGAAGCTTACCTTGTCCCAAAATGCCCCTAACAAATCTCTACTTTTAGTAGAATCCTACAAGAAATATAACAAAGATCATACAACAGCAAACTTAAGCAAGATATATGCTTTGAGTTCCAATATAACAAGAATGAGCACTTTTCCCAAGAAAAAAAAGGAACTTAACAATATTTGCAAGACATTAAGAAAACCTTAGCAAGCTTTTTTAAGCGATGGTGCACACGTATATGCCTCCTGTAGTTGATGGGCGAACAAAAATCTTGGGAGCATTTATTGCACTTTTGCATCTGCACCTTCAGGGGAGAAAGCAAAGACCAACTTTGGTTGTGTTCTGCAAAAGTAACAAAATTAAATGATAACCAAAATAGCTGCTTATGAAAGTATAGAACTCAGAAATAACATTTTCCTTGGAAGTGATCAAGAAAGGAAATTTTAAGCAGCTGCAAAAGCCTATGGTCCATTAAGCTCTGGTTGAACACCAGTATTCACATGGTTCTAGACTTCTAGTTACTCTTAATCACCATAACCTTAAGCAGCTATATTGTTTGGATTTAATTTCTCAGCGTTACCTACCTGGTACATAACTGTTAGTTTCATGCTTTCCAAAGAGGGTAGAGTTCAGTGAGGGCTCCAACTTCGAACTTGTGCCAGCTAAGCGAGTTCGAGAAATTTCTGGGTTATTCAAAATAAAAATAATAATAATAACTCCACAATACACAAATGATCTTGATGCATATGAAGTTGAGACCATTGAAAGGCTCATACCTTGCTGCTCTAAAGCTTGAAGCAATTGAATAAACTGGACTGAACTGTCCCCAGCCTTAGAGAAAGAAAGAAAAGGCTCTTTTCCGATTGCTTGTCTAATGACAGCATCAAGGGAATCATTTCCCTCCTCTGATTTCATCACATCTAGAGTATTAGCAGCCTTGAGTTTTGGAATTGGCATCTCAACGTCCAGAGAGTAGAAATCTACAAACACAAAAAGGCTAGTACATGAAACATGCACGTAACGTGAAAATACTTGAGGTGAGCAAAACAGACATTCAAAAACTATGAAATATATGCTAATACATTACTCAAGCTCTAATTAGAGCACTGCGATGCCAAATTCCCATGCCAGTGCTAATATGTGGCATTTGAGTAAGAAAACCATTATCCTATGCAATGCTATACATAAATTTCAAATTTAGCATATATTATACTTGGAGTTGGTGCCAAATTTTGGTGTTTAGTTCCATATTAGTTAATGTATCGACTTTTTCACTTAATAATTACAACATTACCATTTTTCAATCTTTAAAATTTTAAATTGTCCACAAATGCCGAAGCTGAAAACCTCATGAAGAAAACTAGATATAGCATCTAAACTAGCATTATGCATTGGAGAACAAAATTAGAATAATCTGTCAAATATATAATCTTTACATTTGGCATTTGCATTGAAGATGTTCTTAATAGTTAAAAAGCCCTATTCGTTAAATTAGTTACAACGTGTCTTTATTTAGAACTTGAGCTAAGTACCTATATGAACAAGCACACATATACATATACTAACTAATAACAACAACAGATAACTAAAAGTATACATTCAAGAAACTCTGTTAAAGTTTTGGATCGTTAGTAATTTATTGACCGAAGCTTAATAGCAAAAACCAATTCTGTTAGTAAAATTATGCTCACGATCAGCAGGAAAAAAATACGTGTTTCCTCTTTTGCCTTGGTTTAAAAATAATTTCCTGCCTACCTTGGAGAGACTTTTCTTAAGCTACTACCTTCTAGAAGTTATAATAGTTACACAATTAGATATAAAACCAAAACATAAATAGATCTTCAACAATATTCTCTATGCTATAAACCTAGGAAAACATAGATCTAATAAAAGGAAGCTAACATAAAAATAATAATAAAAAAACCGAATCTATGACAAAAAGTACCATGAGAGTTGCTCAGAGAAAAGAAGATATGCATTTCCAACAAAGGAAACAAACGAAGAAAGGGCGCAATTATCGCCAAAAATAAAATAAAATCAATGCCAATTATAATAATAAAAATTTTCAATATATTACAATTAATCGCCAAAATAAAAACTAAAAATCCGTTTGGGCGTAAATAAAATTCTAAAGAAAAACAATTATGCGCTGTTCTTAATCCACTGAGTTTGATTCTCTATTTCTCTCAATTCTCAATCAGAAAAACATAACATCAACCTCCAGTTTGAAATTCTGTAGCATTTTCCAATCTAACAACAGAGTTTGCCCAACCCGAAAACGAGAGAATTCATGATAAATGAAAACGAGAACAAAGCTTGCTAGGTTTCGAAACGCATGATCTGAAATCAACAAATCGCAATATATAAATCCATATAAATACATAAATATAAACATACATATACATATACATATGGTATAAATGAAGGAAACGCAATATAAACGAAATTCGGTTCACGTACCAGTCGAAACGAAGGAAGTGAGCGATCGAACAGGAAGGAATCAACCGTCTTTGATCTGTAGATTTGAAGTCCAAAAGAAATAGATGTAGAGACTGATTCGGCGGAAATGAAAATCAACGAGAATGCGAGAAAATAATCGGCCAGGGAAAATAGAGAGTTGTGCAGGTGTTTTTGTGTGTCCGAGTATAGTTTTTCGTGGAGAGAGAAAATATATAAAGGCGAAATGAATGGAACCCTCTGTACTTATGTAGTAAGAAACGAAAAAAATAAATAAAATAAACTTTTGGTTATTTTCTATTTTGTACCTTGTATTTTGAGTTTATCAAGAAAATAACGCTATATGTTAGATGTTTTCAAAATTGTCTTCTAAGTTTTAAATTTATCAAACTTATTTATTTCTTTTTTTTTTTTTTGCTATGAAAAAAGAGGACCAAGTGGAGACCATCGAGGAATGAAAAGAATCTGAACTAGACTCTATCTGTCCATTCAACTGGTATTTCCCTACCTATCACAACCCACTTAAATTTACACGTTGGGCCGGGTACAACTTGGAACTATGGAGTTTTAAACCTTAAAAGGATGGAAAGAGAAGTCCTAGCTTCATCACTACACTACAACTCTCGATAGTATGTCTTTTTTTAGGTTAATAATTGAGTTTGAATCTTGAATTGATAATGACATTTTCCCTGTGTTGATTTAATACAACTCTTTTATGGCAGAAAAACTTTGGAAATTTGATTTTATATATATATATATATATATTCAATGAAAAAAAGGGTTAAGGGAGGGCCTAAAGAGAATTTTCTTTTGTAAATTTGAGGACTCAAAACTTAAGATTTTAAATTTTGGGACCCAAGTGTAAAGACTTCAAAAGTTTTGAGATATATGGCGTAAATTTTCTTTGGGAATATTAGGTTAAGGTTACGATGGGCAACAAAATTCGATGCAATTTTGGAATTTCTTTATTTGAGGTGTCGTTCATGCCAAGAATTCAGAAAAATATCAGGAGTCATTGGTAAATATCAGTTTAAATATTATTTTAGTGAGTTTTTTTTTTTTTGTGCTGAATATATTATTTCATTGAGGTTGTAATATATTTTATACGAAGTTTCAAGAAAAATTGAATAAATACCAGAGATATGCTAGAACAAGTTAAATTGACGATACAATGTGGTTTTTATTTCAGAAATTCTTTTTGTTATTTCTTTTAAAGTGTCTATGTTTTTATTATTTAATCTCTCTAAAATCACGTTTCATCACGGTGATAAATTTTATTTGGAAATAGATATGAGTGGTCAAATATTTATATTTTGTAAACCTCAAGTAGCTTGATCTCTAAAAGTAAACATTAAGGTAAAAGACAAGTGCATATCCTAAGAGATAATCCAAGAATTAATTCATAATTCAGCAAGTAATTAATGGATAAATAATGTATGCATGGATCGCTTGTATAATAGTATGTACTGTCTATTTGGTTAAACTTAACCAATAAAGAAAACTTGTTTAAAAAGGCCATTTATTCAAGTGAGTGTGCTACAGAAATTATTATAAGGAACCATTTATTAGTAAAGTGAACCAGGTAAAGTGGGTAAAGTCTAAAACAAAAAGACTTCACATCAACGATATAGAATCGGATGCACTAACAGTAATCCAAGCAGTTTACACTGCTCAAGTGTTTAATAACAAGTTTGGATCTTTTTTCCCCTTTTTAAGAGTTAGGCCAAGGCTGCCTATGGAGTTCCCTTTTTTCTTTTTTTTTTTCCTTTTTTTTTCTTTATGGTCCGAGGAGTCACCTCTACGTATTGAACCGTATTTGTACTCGATGCTATTACTTAAGTAGCAACTCTAAAAAAAGTTGGAAACAAAAGTCTTGCTATGGGTTTCCTTTGTTTAAAGCTTCAATTAATTGAAAAATAAATAAATAACAAAAAACAAAACAAAACCAGCGCTTGTGTATACTACAATATCACTGGAAGAAATTCACTATTTCTGTGAATTATGGCTTTTAGTTACAGTTGGGAAGAGACTCCGGTGATCAAATCCGTATAAAGGCCTCACGGGTGTATTACCACATTTGAAGGTCATATATGCGAAAATATATAGATGTAAAATATGATTTTATTGTTGTAGTTGCCATTCTTGAATTGCATTCTGAAGCGCGTAGTTTGGGACCAGATTGCAGTGATCAAGTTTGAGGTTTGTCATAGGGGAAGTGTTGTGCCCACTATGCAACCATCCTCTTATTGCTTCCGCTTCATACGTGAAACCATCTGCTGCTATCTGCGGATCTTTCATGATTTCCTGGAAATGCAAGCACAAATTATGAGAAAACATCCGTGACTGAGCTCAAGTTGACCTTATCATCATTTTGATGTTCGAGTAATTAAGGTCTTATTCGCTTCGCAGATTCGAGTTTTTAATTCGAGTTGAGATGTAAAATTTTTCTGAGAGCTTTTAACTGTAGCAGAAAAAGTTAGATGCGACATTTTCTAAGAGTTTTTAACTATAAAAAATTAAGAACTGAAAACTTAAATCGGTGAAATAAACGAGGTCTAAGTTTTCGTTAGTTCAAACTCCTTCAGTTTGACCTTGCCAGTTACAGTAGAGGAATGCGCACACACTCAGACATGGTGAAGCACTCGCTTCTTCATGTAAGATGGTATAATGTAACCATGATCAGAATCCCATAGGGTGGAAGAAACTAGAAAGACGAGTAATCAAATCCAGGTGTTACTATTATAATTCGAACAGAACATTTTGTGAAAGTAGAGTGTGACGTGTAAATTATTACCTGAAGAATGGGGCAGACAAAATGGGAGGGTGTCCGTTGAAGCTTCTTGGAAACTAGGAATGAAGTTGAGGCAATACATGAAGCTCTCATTGGCTCAAGAACACCCCAGACGTCCGTCGCAAGGTCAGGCCGATCCAGCCAGTTTTTGTTGCAACACCTTATAGCCAACTGAGCCAACCGTTTGGCTTGCTCAAGTGGCCAATCGCCGGCTGGAAAGTCCAACACTGCGTTCAAGTTATTATTTTCTAATGCACATCTTACATCTTTTACAAGCCCCTGAAGTGGTCTTGCAGTTAATAGCCGTAACAGTATTACTCCAAATGAGTAAACATCTGATTCTGCTCTAAGCTCTCCAGTCTCAAGATACCCTGGATCCATATACACGGAGGTTCTATCTGAGTGATTAGATATAGTGGTTGAGTTGGCCAGATCGTTTTTCTCGATCAGAGAAATGATTCCCAGGTCACCCAGTTTGCTCACATAATTCGCATCAAGGAGAATGTTACTAGGTTTCACGTTTCCATGGACAATGCAAGGTTTATTTGAGTGAAGAAAGATAAGGGCAGAACATATCTCAGCAGCTATGGATGTTCGAATTTGCCACGGAATGGTATTGTTTTTACCGCTGAGGCAATCTTCAAGGCTGCCCTTCTTCAGATACTCGTAGACAAGTGATCTAGATTCTGGACACATTCCAATTAGTGTTGCCACATTTGGATGCCTAAACCTGCTGATAATCTCTACCTGATAAAATTTCAATCAACAAAAAGATAACTATCTTTCTACAAACACAAGTAATTATATTCTAGGTTGACTTTATTTGACTATGCAAAAATTAAAAGAGGTCAGCTAAGAGATATTGATATAACTGCGAGCTTCTAGTATACTGTAATGCATGTTATTCTCACTATTTAACTGGCTTTTGGTTAAAATCATACTGTAGTCTTTACAGATTTACCTCACGTTGAAAGTCTGACTGACTCTTAAAGCCATAAGAGGGCAACATCTTTATAGCAACGTGCATTTGGCGAAGAATCCCTTTGTAGACAGTTCCATACCTTCCTTCAGCAATCTTCCAGGACGGATCAAAATCGTTAGTTGCTTCATTGATCTCCAAGAAAGAGAAAACCGGGAATTCGGATCTGGAAAAGCTTGTAGCGTCTCCCTTCATCAATCTTCTTAGCCATTCAACTTCTCTTACTGCATTCCCGTGCTCTGTCCGCAATTTGTCCCGTTTTTCTTTAAAACTTATCAAGAGTTTAACAGCTGAGATGATTTTCTCTTCCAATTCCTTAATTTCCTCTTGCGACTTTGCAACTTGGCCCTCTAGCACTAAATTATTTTCCTGAGCCATCTGGATTTCTCCAATGAACTCATCACGTTCATCTTTCACTCTTTCCAGTTCTTGCTTTACTTTTCCCAGTGTTTCTTCTATCTCTTTTTTTTGGCTTATCTCCTTGACATATAAGCTTTGAAATGCTTTTGCCTGTAAGATAGTACGATAACCATGTAATATATTGGAGATGAGATTGATTAACTGATTCACCATATCTACTATAATTTGTGTCATCAGGAGGAGAAGGCTAATAAACACTGGCCATTATATTCCTAACTCACATCCTTCCTAAACATTAGATAAGACATTTAGATAATTTGTCTACAGCCTGAAATCTAAAATGCATTTAGTCCCTGAGGTTAATTCCATAAATAGTCCCTGGGGAGCGTTTGGTATGATGTAATAGGGTGCATGTTTGGTACAAGAATTAAGATTTTTTTATTCCCAGAAAAATCAATCCCATGGTATTCACTTTACCTCATTTTGAGGTAATCTCAAACCTACCCAACATGGTGCTATTCAGAAAATATGTGATTACCACAGAAAACAAACAAAAAAATTTTTATAACATAAAAAAAGATCAAATTTACATTAAAAACTCATCAACAGTTCGAAGCTCCACCACGACCCAAGGCACCGTCGCCTACCCACCACCGTCGCAGCCCCACCTCACTGGCCTCCTGTCGACAGCCCAGCCCCTGTGCCTGCCTACCATCGCCGGAACCTCGACCCTTCACATCCCTGCCGCCATAACCCAACCACTTTAGGAGTCGTTGCAGCCAAACAACCCCGTCAGACGTCACCGTCGCAACCCCACCACTCCGCCATCTCCGCCCATCACCGCAACTGTCAAAGCTCCGCCATATATCGCACACCACTTAGCCAATGCCACCGTAACGAAACCCAATTTTAAAGCTCCACCAAGGTCGCCATCGTTGGTCCCCCACAATCGGAGCTTGTACAGCCGCCCATCCTCGCCGCATCTCTTTGTCGGAAAGCCGCATAATCCACCCCATTCTCGCCGTTGTTCCCTGCCTTGGGAAGCCACCGCCCTTGTCGGCACAGCCCCATGACCGCTGCGCCATCCCACACTCTACGGAGCACAGATTTTATTTGCGATTGAGAAGGAGCAGAGAGATCGAGAGGGGTGAGAGAGAGAGATCAAGAGGGATGAGAGAGGGAGATCAAGAGGGATGGAAGCAGGGAGATGGTTCATGGATTAGAATCATAAGATTAGAACCATTTTCGATTTACGTGTATTTTTTGTGAGAGAAAACACTGTAGCGAACCATGAACCATGATTCGAATCGGGGTATGAATCCCCCAACCAAACAACCTATAAGAGGGATGAGAGAGATTCCCATATGGGTTTTTTCCCCTTTTTGTTCTAATTTAATTTATAAAAATTATTTATTTCTGTTTTAATAGGAATTAAAGGATTCGTTTGCTACGATGATTTAAATCAAAGTAATTCTAATTATGATTTTAGAACTAGAACCATGATTCATGATTTTAAGTTCAAATCATGATTCTAAAATCATGATTCAAAATCAAGAGTTTGAATCACCTTAAATTGGTTTTAGAATCATGAGTGATCTGGTTTAAAACATCACATCAGATTCTAAATCATGATTCAGAATCATCTAGAGAACATTTGGTTTATGTATTCAGAATCATGATTCAGAACCATTCTCGTTTTACGTGTATTTTTTGTAAGAGAAAACACTGTAGAGAACTATGAATCATGATTCAGAATCAGGGACGAATATAGGAAACAAACGTCCCCCTAAACTAAACACTGATTCAGAATCATGATTCAGAAAACAAACACTGATTCTAAACCAAGATCCAAAATCATGATTCTAGATCTATCCACCAAACGAACTCTTAGGAGACGTTTGGTTCATGGATTAGAATCATGAGATTAGAACCATTTTCGATTTACGTGTATTTTTTGTGAGAGAAAACACTGTAGGGAACCATGAACCATGATTCAAATCATGGTATGAATCCCCTTACTTAAAATATTAAATTATTAATTTTTTTAAAAAGAATAACATTGCATTACTTTTTCAATTAAAAAAAAAAAAAAACATTACATTCCTGTATACAATCAAAAACAGTAAAATGATATTCCTAAAAATCTATTAAAAGATTCCAATACATAACCAAATCTATAATGTATGTTTCCTAAGAATCATATTACCTTTTATCGTTTTCATGGTAATATAATTCTCACTGATTACTCTGTACCAAACGGCCTCTAAGGTTTACTTTCAATCTCACTTTAATCTCCGACTTTTCAAATGTCACACAGTTGATCTTATTTTGTTTCAGTTTTAATCCTTCCATTAACTAGGTGTTAAAATTTAATGAAATTTGTGTAAATTAAAGAGCAAAATTGAAAACAGTTAAGATTTTGAGACTATCTGTAAAAGTTAATTTTTTTGAATTGTTTTTACCCCTAAATTTTATATGTTTCTAATGATAGTTCCTAATTTTCCCAAATTATGTCAAATATTTAACACTAAACTAATAAAAAGACTAAAATTGAAACAAACTAAAATCTCATTGATCAACTGTGAGACATTTTAAAAATCAATGACCAAAGTGGGATTGAGGGTAAACTTCAAGAACTATTTGTGAGATTAACCCCTCTCTTTTCAAAAGAAAGTTAAATAAGTTTTTTTTATCAATAAACGTAATTAGAAAAGATATCAATAACAATACAAAGAGAAAAGAACGGAAGATCAACAAAAGAGAAAGCTTGCCTTGCATTTAGCCTCCACAATATCTTCGTCATCTTTCCATTGCTTTACTGCGTCTTCAAAATCTTTCCATTTTGATTCTTTGTTGTCCGCAATGACTTGTTCTAGAGTAAGACAGCTTTTGCTAACTGCTTGTTCTTCTGCTTTCTGCTCCTGCAAAATTCAGAGACCATCACAAAGGAACCAAATGATTTAAACCGCAAAGAACCTGCTGCAATGACTTGATTGAAAGAAAATATAAAAACCGGTTTCTTTGTAGACATATCACTCTCCTCAATTATTTGAAGAGAGAAACGTTTATTAGCTTCTAAAATATCACGTCGCTTTCGCATAAGATCAAACACTGGCGCATTACAAGTTCTCGAAATTTCATTTTCAAAATTTTTTTCTCTTTGCTCAAAAAAGGGATAGAAAGAAAATGGCTATTCTTGGACAATAATATTGCAGCATACAAGAAAAGATGATATTGCACAATCATAACAGAAGCCATTGAGGGAAGTGGCGATCAAGGTATATTTAACAGCCTCTCACCTCATCCGCCAGCAATGGGATCAACTTTGAAGTGCCAACCACTCTGTTGGAAGACCAACTTGAATCTATTGAACAATCGCAAAATGACCTAGATATTTCTTCCAATTTATTGACATCTTCCTCTATATCTGCGCAACTCTGTAACTAAGCTATCGATCTAAAAACTTTGAGAGGATAGGATATGAAATGAAAACAAAACGCAAACATAAATTCCTATGGAAAAAATAATCAGGCTAAGTACTGAGCCAACCTAGATTGCTCGGCCGACCACTGGAATGTGATTCCAAGTGGTCAGGTTGCTTGGTTTCAAAACGTGAATTCATCAGCAACAAAGGCGGGACAACCTCTATTTCAGTTCTTTCTTCACTGCTGCCTCCCCTATTCAAGTTTTTTACAAATCAGTAGTAAATATAACACAAATTCAAAAGGCATAACTAAGGTTGTAATATGGCATAGAATTACATGAAACCAAACTTAGTCGTGATAACAGATTAAAAGACAATTACAAAACAGTTATCAGACACATGAAAATTAAATCAGACCATCGACTTCATGTTCGCTATAAACTGGAAATAAGCCACCTTCGCTTGTAAGGAAGCAAAAAAGGACATGAAAACAGAAAAGAAAAGAAAGTGTTCAAACATCACTTGGGTGCATTGTAAAACGATGCATCATGATGTTAAAAATAGAAAATATTTACTTTTTGTGAATAAATATTAAATATTTACTATACCAATACAAAACATTGCATTTTTGTCACAGGGCCAACTTTGTTATCAAAATCCAAATTCTTAGTTGAGAGTTCACCTGGTATATATGAGATGCGCCTTGCAAATAAACCAAATGTGACAGGAAACTGCTGCTTGTTCACATACAAAAATTGCTTTCTTGGACTTGAGATCTGCCAGTCTCCTGCAATTTTGACAATAATCAGACATTTAAAAGAAAACAGATGTATCTTAGTGGTAGTCTTTCACAAATTACATAGCTAAACAAAAGGATATGAAAATTCAATATTTCTGAAAATAAATAAACTCCTTTGAGCAGTTTAGCTACGACAACAACAATAATAATAAATAATAATTGCAGCATTACAACAGTAAATTTTAAGTATATTCATACTCATCATAATATTCATCTGCAGCAGCTCCCATGACGAGCCATCTGACATCATGCCGAGAAATTATTTCTACAATCCCTTCCACAATATTTTCCATTTCAGTCCATACTTTATATGCTTGCACCTAGAAAAGCAAGTCCATTTGTCAATTTACTATTTGAGAGTTTAAGATGATGAGTCTCGCATGAATTAGACTATCATCACTGTTAGCATATACACTTTACAGTAACTAATTTAGCCGACAAGGATCAAAAAGAAAAGGAATTATACCCCTTTTTGGGAAAGAATATGTAGGTAGTTATCTAGAAGTCCTCGTACTTTTCGCCGTTCAAATTCTTGATATCCTCTAACCATATATTGTTTCAGTTTATTGGCAGAAGTATTTCCTTCAGCTGCGAATCATATATAAGAGCAGGTTAAAGAATATACGATATATGATTAATTATTAAACCTTCATGAAACCTACTCGAGTATAAACAAACAGCTAAATACAAACTAGTAGTTGAGAGAGGAAAATAACTTAAGAAATGCAAACAGTATATATGTTTTGTTATATCTCAGCATCAAAGGGAATCTACAGAAACTGCGACAAGGCAATAAAGCGATTTTTTCCTTCTCAAAATTATTTAAAAGAAATCCACACTTTACGTTCTTAACCATAAAAATACAACTTTTGCTCATGATCTCATAAAATAGTAGAAGGAGATGAGCAGATTGTTCTCTTCACCTCCATTTGATCACCAAGAGGCTCAAATTGGAAATCAAAATACCAAAAATAGGAAATCACCAAGCTTTTCCCTTTCCACACTTTTTATCAACCAAACGTAGCTTCAGTTAATACAGAAGGAAAATCATTCGATAACACACAGAGAAAATTAGGTTAAGAATTCTCCAATTCTCGGGAGCCAAACAACAATTGGATTCAAATCAAATTGGTAACAGATTTCTACAATAATTGTAACTGAATTCGCAATCGAATTACGAAACGACATAAAAACTCACTCATTGCGAGCAGACGCGAAGGCTGGTGAACATGGAGAACGCAAATCTTCTTCCCCGAGAAGTTATTCAACGTCCATGAAAGCGCTCTCTCGCTCTGCTTGGCGTCTTTCCCCACCGCAACAAATATAGTCTCTTCCACATCGAATACTTGCTCTTCTTCTCCGGCGACTGGAAAGCTCCCCATCCGTACAGTATCTCCGGAAATGTATGACCGGAGATTGGTCAGTCTGTGTGCGGAGAAAAGCTTTGGCTCCCCGCCCCTACGTAAATGGAAACAACAAAAGGAGTCTCCGAAAAGACACCAACCAAGCACTTCGCAGGTAAACAATCTAAGGAAGAGACTAGCAAAAATAAAATAAAATAATTGAGCAAAAAAATAAAATAAAATATCAAAGCTAATGAAAAAAAAAAAAATTTTGACTAGATGAGTGTAATGTCTTGCTGGCAGATTCATAAAAATTATACATACCAAAAGTATTTTAAAGATTCCCCAAAATAATAGATAAATGTGCATTTAGTTGGAGGTAATCTTAGGGATAGGAATAAAAATCTTTTAAATTCTCATATTTAGTATAATTATTAGATATTTTTAAAATCCAGAAAAGTGAATCTCATGAATTTTATATTACCATATTTTAGAATAATCCTAAACTCACCCAATAGGATGTTATTTATTTTCCTAAGAAAGTAATATTACGGGAAAAATATGCCTTAATATTTCTCTCACCCATCTCTTACTAGACCCATCCCGCCCATCTCTCTCTCTCTCGTCCAGACTCAACTTTCTCTCACTCATCTCTTACCAGACTTAGGGCCGACAATATGAGTCACGACACGACGACACGACTCGAAAACGACACGAATTTTACGGGTTAGGGTTGAGAAAAAAGAGGTTCGGGTCAGAATCAGGTCGACCTGAAATTGACACGAAAAACACAGGTCAATTTTGGGTTGGACCCGCCTAACCCGAACACGACACGAAACTCGTAAAAAACAAAAAAAAAATACATATATTTTTCATTTCATATTTTAAATTTTATTATGAACTTGTAATATCATGATAGTTATACTCAAAATCTTATACTATTATTTGCTTAATTTCAATGGATGTTATTGTAATTTAGTGTGTTATGAATTTTAAGTTATTTATAATATGTAAAAAACTAAATAAAAGTATACAATTTTCGTGTCAATTTCAGGTTCACGGGTCAATTTCGTGTCACAGGTCATTTCGGGTCGTGTCGTGTCAACTCGTAAAGTGGTCGTGTCGTGTTCGTGTTGCGATTTTTAAAAAATTTCGTGTCACGGGTCGTGTTCGGATTGACTATAAATTTATAAAAAACGATTAAAACACGACACGTGACACGAATTGCCACCCCTAACCAGACCCATCTCACCCATCTCTCTCTCTCGTCCAGACCCAACACTGCTCTTCCATCGACCACACCGTTGCCAGACTATCCTCTGCCACCACCAGAGTATGATTCTTTTTTCACTTTTTTTTGTGAAAAGTTTTTCTTTCACGATTTGTGTTATTTTTTTTTTATCTAAACTACAATTTCATATAGCCTTCAAATCTGTGATGTTATTTTTCTTTTCTTCTTGTTGAATCTGTATCAGCCTGTTTTTTTTTATTTAACTTTTGGTACCTGAAAGCAACGTTGTGACAAAAAAAAGTAACTGAGATTCCAGATAGCAGTTGGAGAAAGTAGCTTTACTACAAGTTTTACTGCCGAGTCTTATAAGAGCCAATTAAGCCCATAATGTATATGTAGCAGATAATAAAGTATGAAAGAAACCCTAAATAAACAAATTAGTGAAGATCTCGATCTGAAACAAAACAAGGGTTTCAAAAGTTGGAATTGATCCTTTAATACCACTTATCTTAGCAAAATTCTTCATATAAACAAAAATCTGTAAAACAATTAGAGTTGAAACTTAAAATGAAGAGAAAACAAAAGGCAATTACTTACTTTATGAAGGATTCAACCATCGCCTTACGTCCATAGCTTTAAAAAATAAACAAAGAAAGTTGGTGTAGTAAATGGCTTAATTCATTTAAAAAATATGTTTTTTTTTTTAATTCACAACATTCTCATTCTCATGCACAACCAAACATAATAATGTAATATTCCTGAGAATTTAAGAAAAATCTATATATTGAACCAAACACAGTAATGTATTATTCATAAAAATCATATTACCCTCCGTCACTTTTTCGGGAATATGATTCTTACTGATTACTGCGTACGAAACGCTTCCAAAATTATAAATGCAGTAAATATAAGATATTTATGTGTACGTCTAATATTATTAGGTTGTACGTGTGATTTTTTTCATGTTCATCAAACATTCAATATTATGTATTTTGGATTATTATTAAATGTTATATTCAAATAAATAAAGTGTTAAATACACACACCAACGATATTATATAAGAATATTATGACTGATTTTATTGCCGAATTTAATATAACTTCACAAAAAAAAAAAATATCTAACAAAATTTATTTTAAAATTGGGAACTTTACATAAATACTCATGCGTTTTAAATTCGTGATACTATTTCAAACTGGCTATATTTGCATTTTGTAAGGGTCATTTTGTTTATTTATTTTTTAAATTTATGGGGACTCTTGAACCTTGTAATCCTTATTTTGGTTTGAATAACTAGTGTGTACACAAGAAACTAAGACCGCTTTTTTAAATATTATTGAAAATGTTTAGTTAAGTTTTTATTTTCTCGGACCGTTCATTGTCAAGCTGATTAGTTTCCAATTCTCCTTGTTTTTATTTATTTATTTATGAGAGAAAGAGAGAAATATGTCAAGATTTGAGATGAATTAAAATTAATAGGTCAATAGTTTACATAAGTTAATAAATATGTCAAATTACTGTTTTTGTCCATAATTTGTCTGGTTATGAACCATAACTTAACAAGTTATTGTCCATAACTTATCTGGTTATGAACCATAACTTAACAAGTTTGTTCATAACTTATCTGGTTATGAACCATAACTTAACAAGGTTATCCATAACTTATCTGATTATGAATCATAACTTGACAAATTATGGTCTATTAATTTCTATAACTAAAAAATGACCTATATATTTTCTTAAACTTTTCATATTAGCCTATTTCCTACTATTTTCTTTTATTTATTTACAATATGAATCTATGATTATACTGCCGAATACTATACGTTTATAGTTTATTACATTTTCTAGGCAAAGTGGCACTTGTCAGCGTGTAGCTCACCAACCCCTCAAACTTGTGTTTCGAGGATTTACATATTTTTAGGCTACAAAAGAACATTGCAATTTAACGGTGAACGCTAATATCTGTTACTGCTACCATATATTAAAGAGCAAACATAATATATGATGCAACATTTGTTATTTCAGAGTTTATTTGATAGACAAATTCTATTAATAGTGTCAGTTTCTAAATATTAAATCATATAAAAAATGTATTAGATTAAAAAAATATACATAACGGAAGCACAATTTTGCCTGAAACGACGAGTTCTGACGCATGGCAATAAATTTTACATGTAAAAAAGACTGCTTGTACGAGATACCTAATAATACACCCTGAAACAAACGACATGTAGTTTGTGATAGCAAATGACACCATATTTTTTTAACATAAAACTGCATTTAGACGATTCAAATGAATGACAAAAATATTTTTAACAGGGAACTTTCAAGAAAAAAGCCGATATATATTTCCGTGTCTACATTCTTGCGGAGTAAAACGATTCAACGAAGAAAAAGAAGAAGAAGAGTGTTTATAAAGGAAAAAAGAAAAAGAAAGAAAAAGAAGAAGAATGAAGATAAGGGGCGATTAGAGTAATACCGTTTTAGAGAGTTGATGCCTGTTAATTTTACTGATTCAAGTTTAGAATTTAAATTTTGTTACCGTAAAAAGCTCTCAGAAACAGTCGAATTTAATTTTTTTACTACAGTAAAAAACTCTCATATAAAGTCACATCTTAACTCGAATTAAAAACTCGAATCAGCGAACTAAACGGGCCCTTGGTATTGGCATATATTTTTTCGCTGGAAAGATTTCAGCACAATTTACATATAAAATGGTGTAAATCAGGCATAATATTAATTATAAAGCCTAGTTATTCATAATCATCCGTAATATTTTAATGTGCAATTTATACTTGAAAATTTTGAGACTAATGGTATATTTAAACACTAACTTTCTAAAAGTAATATTCTAATTCACCCCGTAAAAGTGATGTTTAATTTGAAGTCTAAATTAGAAATTACGTACATTAAAGATTTGGTATTCAAAATTTCAAACATATTTTACTTTTATCGACATCTCTAGTAAAAACTACACTAAATACATATTTATAAGCAGTGAGGGAGATATGTTGTAATGAGTGGGTGCTGCTGTCTTCTATTTCGTCCCCGCTCAAAAAAAGAATTTCATAATAATCCCCTTTAAAATAAAGATATTATACAACATTTTCAAAACGTAAAAACTCATTATTATCAAACATATTTTACTTTTATCGACATCTCTAGTAAAAACTACACTAAATACATATTTATAAGCAGTGAGGGAGATATGTTGTAATGAGTGGGTGCTGCTGTCTTCTATTTCGTCCCCGCTCAAAAAAAGAATTTCATAATAATCCCCTTTAAAATAAAGATATTATACAACATTTTCAAAACGTAAAAACTCATTATTATCTACTTAAGATGTTTTATGATCTTTTTTTGATATATATATATATATAT